ACCTTGGCAAAAAAAAAAAAAAATTAGTTTTATCATCTCAAAAATTAAGGTAAAAATCCGTTCTCACTAACAAATCAATTTTTTTTTGAATTTGAAGTATGTTAATTGTACATCAAATTGTTTCATGCCATCAAAAATTTTTTAAAGTTATAGTGTATCGGGACTAGTTCTTGAGATATTTAACTTTAAAGTATCTTTTTTTACATAGATTAAATGGATTATACCAATAACAGTGTTGAAGACATACGTAAAAAATCAAACTATTTTTATAAAAAATACTGTACTAATCTTGGAAATTTGTACTTTATTTTAGTCCTTTCAAATTATGGTGTATAGACACGAAATAAAAATCATTTTATTGATGAATATTTTTCTCGTTACAAAAGCACACGGCCACAACCTATAAGATTATCATAATACGATAAATGACGCACTTTACTCGCTTGATTAACTCGGTCCACGGATTTTCTGCCTTAAAGAAAAAAAAAAAAAAAATCTATGTATAATTGCTCACATGATAGGCGTAGTCAGACATGAAGAGTTTCTTGTGCACGGAGGGCAGCATTATCTGCATGTTCGCCCAAGCGCGATCCTGGGGCGCGAAGTACGTGAAACGCTTCTCGCTGTCGTCCAGTTGGTTGTTGAAGGCGTGGCTCATGCCTAAATGGTACGTCGAGCTGGAACATTATAAAAGTACCAAACGTGATTTTTGTGAAAAAGATTTTCTTTCGTACATCCCACAATGTAAAACTTTGGAGTTTCATAGAAATGGGAATAAAAGTTTATAAAAATAAAAAAGAAAATTGGGGTAGTCGTCGAGACATAAACTGAAAGACCATCTGTCGATTGATTTTCATCCCTCGGAGCAGGGGTGTAGTTCTGAAGGACACGCGCGGGAGGGCGTCTCACGTTCCGATACTGTTGTGGTACCTCCGGTTGTAAAAATCTTTGGAATATTTATTTACCAAATATTGTAGCGATCCAACCTTTTTCACCTTGTTTTTTTTGTTTTTTTTTTAGGATTATTTTTAAATTACACATATTTTGTTGTTTTTTATGGTGTCAGTAAAATTTTTCATGTCAAGGTATCTAGCTTGTTAAAAAATCTAAAAAAGTAAGCGAACACTGCGTTTGTGCTCGTTAAGCCATCAAAGTTGGTACATAAACGCAAAGCATCTGCTTGCGCAAGCTTAAAAGAAAATTATTCCTGATGCCTGTGAACTAATTTTTCGTAGCACGTGACATAAATTTAAAATCAGCAAATGAACTTGGGCTCATCTCTCTTGAGAATAAATGTCGACAATTTAAAATTTAACGACTTGTTTTTTTTTCTTCTTCTTCTTTTTTTAAATCGTACGTTTTAATTAATTTAAAAAATCGTGCAGCTTTTTAAAGCAAAAAGCAACATCATGGGCAACTTTCTGAGAGTAATAATTCGTTAAAAAAAAATTGTTTACAATTATTTCATAAGTTTTTTAACAAAATTATTGTCTGGAAATATAATGCTTAATTTTAACAATGAGAAGACTGAAAAAAAATTATTAGAATCAAGAAAATATTTACTTATACTTATTTTTTTAATTGCTTCAATTATTTTAAATTTGTATCTAGTTCAATACATCATTTCTAGGCAAATTTTAGGCATTAAACATAAGATATAATTTTTAGCTTTTATGTTACATAACTTTAGCTATAACTACTTATAAAAAAGCTATAAAAGTGTGTAAATAAATAGCCATGAATCACAAATTTTTTTTCTACCGAAAAATAAAAAAAATTGTTCACAAGGGTATTAGCAATGATTTGAAAGATGTACTAATTTTTTCAAACAGAGCATTGCTTGCAGTACAAAAGAAGTTTTTGTTGTCTTCAAAATTTGTAATAATCTTTTTACATCAGTTTTTTAACAATAAATAAATGTAATTTATGTAGCTATTTTTGAAACATTTTTTTAGCTTCGTTATAACTCTTATATATTATTACAGCTATTATTACAGTTAATTTTGATAGCTAATAATTTTTGGCTTACACCGCAATCAAAATATATATCACTATTTTATTATTTTGGCATAGCATATGCAGCTGCGATAATAATTACTTGTCGCCTTGGCAAATTAAATTGTTAGTAGTTGCTGGACTACGCAATAATATAGTTACTCAAATAATAAAAATAAAGTATCAGAAAAGAAAAAGATATTAAAAAAAGGATATAATAGAACAAAATGAATATTTAAAAGTATAAAACTGCTGTGAACAAAAACGTAGAGGTAAAAAATTAAGGAGAAAATATGCGTTGTGAAATGAATAGTAAAATAAAATAGAAAAAACAAAAGTAAAGAAAAATGATGGTGCACAACTAAGAACGAGGTAAAATTTACTGACACCTCGAAAATTCGTTTCACTTTGAAATTAAATCGAGAGCTCGCATTTCATCCAATTTCAAATTTACAAATTCATGAAAGAAGGGTCGGGAGGGGTGGAATAGGGAGAGAAAAAGTGTCACGCACACGCGTGTTATTAGGCGAAGGACTCAAAAGAGTATACGTACGTACGTACGAGGGAAACAGGGCACAGGTGTGGGAGGAAAGAGGGAAAACGCTATGGGAGAACACGTAGCAATTAGCGCTACGGCGCGTAATCATGGAATTTGCATTTAAATGGCGTCCGAAGGGCGCATAATAAATTGCCGGACGCGCGCTTCCTCTCTCTCTCTCTCTCACGAAGCCGCGCCTCTTGTATTTACGGCTTTTCGCTCTCTGAGTTTCGTTCAAGTTTTCGAATCAAATATTGTAGCGATCCAACCTTTTTCACCTTGTTTTTTTTGTTTTTTTTTTAGGATTATTTTTAAATTACACATATTTTGTTGTTTTTTATGGTGTCAGTAAAATTTTTCATGTCAAGGTATCTAGCTTGTTAAAAAATCTAAAAAAGTAAGCGAACACTGCGTTTGTGCTCGTTAAGCCATCAAAGTTGGTACATAAACGCAAAGCATCTGCTTGCGCAAGCTTAAAAGAAAATTATTCCTGATGCCTGTGAACTAATTTTTCGTAGCACGTGACATAAATTTAAAATCAGCAAATGAACTTGGGCTCATCTCTCTTGAGAATAAATGTCGACAATTTAAAATTTAACGACTTGTTTTTTTTTCTTCTTCTTCTTTTTTTAAATCGTACGTTTTAATTAATTTAAAAAATCGTGCAGCTTTTTAAAGCAAAAAGCAACATCATGGGCAACTTTCTGAGAGTAATAATTCGTTAAAAAAAAATTGTTTACAATTATTTCATAAGTTTTTTAACAAAATTATTGTCTGGAAATATAATGCTTAATTTTAACAATGAGAAGACTGAAAAAAAATTATTAGAATCAAGAAAATATTTACTAGAATAGTT